GAACTGGGGATACTATTTGAATTGGTGAAATAGTAGCAGGGATAGTAGTTATAGAGGTAGACTAGAGCCGGGATAGTATTTATAATGGTGAACTAGTACCAGGGATAGTATTATAGAGGTAGACTAGAGCCGGGGATAATATTTATAGTGGTGAAATAGTACCAGGGACAGTAATTATAGATGTGGACTAGGGCCGGGGATAGTATTTATAGTGGTATATAAAAGTACCATGGATAGTAATTATAGAGGTAGACTAGAGCCGGGGATAGTATTTATAGTGGTGAACTAGTACCAGGGATAGTATTTATAGTGGTGGACTAGGGCCGGGGATAGTATTTGAATTGGTGAAATAGTACCAGGGATAGTAGTTATAGAGGTAGACTAGAGCCGGGGATAGTATGTATAGTGGTGTACTAGTACCAGTGATAGTAATTATAAAGGTGGACTAGGGCCGGGGATAGTATTTATAAAGGTGAACTAGTACCAAGGATAGCAATTATAGAGGTGGACTAGAGCCGGGGATTGTATTTATAATGGTGAACTAGTACCAAGGATAGTAATTATAGAGGTAGACTAGAGCCGGAGATAGTATTTATAGTGGTGAAATAGTTCCAGGGATAATATTATAGAGGTAGACTAGAGCCGGGGATAGTATTTATAGTGGTGAAATAGTTCCAGGGATAATATTATAGAGGTAGACTAGAGCCGGGGATAGTATTTATAATGGTGAACTAGTACCAAGGATACTAATTATAGAGGTGGACTAGAGCCGGGGATTGCATTAATAGTGGAGAACTAGTACCAGTGATAGTAATTATAGAGGTGGACTAGAGCCGGGGATAGTATTTATAGAGGTGAACTAGTACCAAGGATAGTTATTATAGAGGTGGACTAGAACCGGGGATACTTTTTAAAGTGGTGAAATAGTACCAGGGATAGTTATTATAGAGGTAGACTAGAGCCGGGATAGTATTTATAATGGTGAACTAGTACCAGGGATAGTATTTATAGAGGTTGACCAGTGCCGGGGATAGTATTTATAGTGGTGAAACAGTACCAAGGATAGTTATTATAGAGGTGAACTAGGGCCGGGGATAGTATTTATAGTGGTGAAAGAGTTCCAGGGATAGTAATTATAGAGGTAGACTAGAGCCGGGGATAGTATTTATAATGGTGAACTAGTACCATGGATAGTAATTATAGAGGTGAACTAGAGTCGGGGATAGTATTTATAGAGGTGAACTAGAACCAGGGATAGTAGTTATAGATGTGGGCTAGAGCCAGGGATAGTATTTATAATGGTGAACTAGAACCAAGGATAGTAATTATATTGGTAGACTAGAGCCGGGGATAGTATTTATAGAGGTGAACTAGTACCAGTGATAGTTAATAAACAGGTGGACTAGGGCCGGGGATAGTATTTATAGAGGTGAACTAGAACCAGGGATAGTAATTATAGAGGTGGACTCGGGACGGGGATAGTATTTATAGTGGTGAACTAGTACCAAGGATAGTTATTTAACAGGTGGACTAGGGCCGGGGATTGTATTTATAGAGGTGAACTAGAACCAGGGATAGTAGTTATAGATGTGGGCTAGAACCGGGGATAGTATTTATAATGGTGAACTAGAACCAAGGATAGTAATTATATTGGTAGACTAGAGCCGGGGATAGTATTTATAGTGGTGAACTAGTACCAAGGATAGTTATTTAACAGGTGGACTAGGGCCGGGGATAGTATTTTTAGAGGTGAACTAGAACCAGTGGTAGTAGTTATAGATGTGGACTAGATCCGGGGATATTATTTATAATAGTTAACTAGTACCAAGGATAGTAATTATAGAGGTGGACTAGAGTCGGGGATAGTATTTATAATGGTGAAATAGTACCAAGGATAGTAATTATAGAGGTAGACTAGAGCCGGGGATAGTATTGATAATGGTGACCTAGTACCGAGGATAGTAATTATAGAGGGGGACTAGAGTCGGGGATAGTATTTATAATGGTGAACTAGTACCAAGGATAGTAATTATAGAGGTAGACTAGGGCCGGGGATAGTATTTATAAAGTTGAACTAGTACCAGTGATAGTAATTATAAAGGTAGACTAGAGCCGGGGATAGTATGTAAAGTGGTGAACTAGTACCAGTGATAGTAATTATAGAGGTGGACTAGAGCCGGGAATACTATTTATAGAGGTAGACTAGAGCCGGGGATAGTATTTATAAAGTTGAACTAGTACCAGTGATAGTAATTATAGAGGTGGACTAGAGCCGGGAATACTATTTATAGTGGTGAAATAGTACCAGGGATAGTAATTATAGAGGTGGACTAGAACCGGGAATACTATTTATAGTGGTGAAATAGTACCAGGGATAGTAATTATAGAGGTAGACTAGAGCCGGGGATAGTATTTATAAAGGTGAACTAGTACCAGTGATAGTAATTATAAAGGTAGACTAGAGCCGGGGATAGTATTTATAGAGGTGAACTAGTACCAAGGATAGTTAGTATAGAGGTGGACTAGAACCGGGGATACTATTTGAATTGGCGAACTAGTACCAAGGATACTAATTTTAGAGGTAGACTAGAGCCGGGATAGTATTTATAATGGTGAACTAGTACCAGGGATAGTATTTATAGTGGTAAACTAGTACCAAGGATACTAATTATAGAGGTGGACTAGAGCCGGGATATTATTTATAATGGTGAACTAGTACCAAGGATAGTAATTATAGAGGTGGACTAGAGCCGGGGATAGTATTTATAGTGGTGAACTAGTACCAGGGATAGTATTTATAGTGGTAAACTAGTACCAAGGATAGTTATTATAGAGGTGGACTAGAGCCGGGAATACTATTTATAGTGGTGAAATAGTACCAGGGATAGTTAATAAACAGATGGACTAGGGCCGGGGATAGTATTTATAGAGGTGAACTAGAACCAGGGATAGTAATTATAGAGGTGGACTAGGGCCGGGGATAGTATTTATAATGGTGAACTTGTATCAAGGATAGTAATTATAGAGGTGGACTAGAGCCGGGGATTGTATTTATAATGGTGAACTAGTACCAAGGATAGTAATTATAGAGGTGGACTAGTACCAGTGATAGTTATTATAGAGGTGGGCTAGAGCCGGGAATACTATTTATAGTGGTGAAATAGTACCAGGGATAGTAATTATAGAGGTAGACTAGAGCCGGGGATAGTATTTATAAAGGTGAACTAGTACCAGGGATAGTAATTATAGAGGTGGACTAGAGCCGGGAATACTATTTATAGTGGAGAAATCGTACCAGTGATAGTAATTATAGAGGTCAACTAGTACCAGTGATAGTTATTATTAGACTAGAGCCGGGGATAGTATTTATAAAGGTGAACTAGTACCAGGGATAGTAATTATAGAGGTGGACTAGTACCAGTGATAGTTATTATAGAGGTGGGCTAGAGCCGGGAATACTATTTATAGTGGTGAAATAGTACCAGTGATAGTAATTATAGAGGTGAACTAGTACCAGTGATAGTTATTATAGAGGTGGACTAGAGCCGGGGATAGTATTTATAGTGGTGAACTAGTACGAGTGATAGTTATTATAGAGGTGGACTTGAGCCGGGGATAGTATTTATAGTGGTGAACTAGTACCAGTGATAGTTATTATAGAGTTGGACTAGAGCCGGGGATAGTATTTATAGCGGTGAACTAGTACCAGTGATAGTTATTATAGAGTTGGACTAGAGCCGGGGATAGTATTTATAGTGGTGAACTAGTACCAGTGATAGTTATTATAGAGGTGGAGTAGAGCCGGGGATAATATTTATAATGGTGAACTTGTACCATGGATAGTAATTATAGAGGTGGACTAGTACCAGTGATAGTTATTATAGAGGTGGACTAGTACCAGTGATAGTTATTATAGAGGTGGACTAGGGCCGGGGATAGTAATGTTAACGGTGAAGTTCCAGGGGAGCTAACACCAGGGATAGTCCTTATCAAGTAATTGTTAGTGTTAACGCCCTTACCTTCAATCAATGAACGAGTTTGTGGAAAACTCTTCTAAATGTTATCTGTACAAATTCTTGCTTGACTCGTTTACCTTACAATATTATTTAACAAAATCAATTCCTGTCGTTTATCTTAGGATTATTTCCAAGTTTCGAATGTCATCCCATCGTTTACGCATAGAAGAAGGCAGATATTGTAATACCCCAAGGGCCCATAGAATTTGTCTACATTGTAACCAAAATCAAATAGAAGATGAATTTCATTTCATTTTAATTTGTCCTCTATACGCAACTTTACGTAAAAAATTTATCAAAAAATATTATTGGAACCGTCCGTCGTCCTATAAACTTGTACAGTTGCTAGCAGTTCGTAATAGGAAAGAACTTTGTCATTTAGGTAAATATTTACAATCAAGTTTACTATTACGCTCGACATAATGTGCATTGTTTAATTATCATGTGCATGCTTTTTCTTTTTATCTCCAGATAAAAACTGATTACTTCTTACTTCATTTGATTGAGATTCTTCCAATCATGTACATTACTTCAATTAATCATCTCATTAATATTTTTCTTTTGTCATTTGTATTCTCATGTGCGTACAACTGTCCGCCATCTATCAAATCAGCTTGTCTTGTACAATGTAGGTTATGTTACATGTTATTCAATATTTGTGTAATGTTTTCGACACCCTTATTGTACATGTACACATTAATTACTCTGTATTATGCTGTAATGCTTATGGGCCGTAAGGCTGAAAGTGAATAAACAATACATTACCTGTGGTATTTTCAAGATAATGACTGTATATACAAGGGTTTGGTGATGTACAATCCAGAAATGCAGTGATGATAAATACAATAAATGCGTGTGCTTTAATTTGTAACGGCCCGCACGAATCATTAGAAATGGTCAATACAATGTAGTGTTGCTAGTGCTATAGATTGTTTGCAATATTACATTGTTTGTGATATGGAATCAACTTTCTCTGAAATAAAGGTATACCACTTACCTGTGATGCTGACCGAGGTTGGCAGTCGTACCCACCTTACTGTTACCATGTTCATGGGGACCAGCAAACATGGGCAAACGCAAGGTAAGTTTCTTCGTCGTCAAACCAACTTGTCACCATTTCTTTTATCTTTTCTGCTTTAAAATATAGGGAAAATGACAGACATGGAATCAACCGACAACGATGCAGAAAACCCAAACAAAGCAGATATCCATTGTGTACCAAATGGCAGTTTTGCCAATTAAGGATTTGTCAGTGCTACTAAATTCAACGAGTGTTTATATATATATATATATATCGCGATAAATAGTTTTAAATGTTCATGTGACGGTAAAAATATAAATAAAGCTAAACACGAAGACTAGTATAATCGGCTAGCGCTTTCGCCCATCTTTCGGAATATAAATAAAGCAAAACACAAGATGGGCGAAAGCGCTAGCCGATTATACTAGTCTTCGAGTTTTGCTTTATTTATATACCCGAAGATGGGCGAAAGCGCTAGCCGATTATACTAGTCTTCGTGTTTTGTTTTATTTATATATTTTTTTCCCCCTTTATATAATATATATATATATATATATTATAAAAAGAAAAATTCTTAACAACGAGTCTTTAGTACTTTCATCTCTTCATCCATATTTGCCGTGATACTTTAAATAAATATATACATATGGAAAGCTTGCATATAAACTATTTAAAACTTTATTTTTTTAGCCTAGGCCTTTTTTCACTAGATTATCTCGCAAAAGTCTTGGTCATCTCCATTATCACATAACCTGCTGCACTTAGTTCAGTGTTCAACCCGTTGATTTCAATGTCTATATTGCTTAAACACAACACATATTCTTTTTTGTATTTGCAGGAAAATGATGAAATATATTTTGTTAATCTGAGATAACTCTATGTTGTTGTTTGTCTAATTGGGTATGAATTTGTCTATGTTAGTTGCTCTGCTGGTTAATTGTACATTGTGACGCGTTGGTATAGTTCGTCTTTGTTAGTCTATGCTGATAGGTATTTTGTCTGTGAAGTGACGCTGTGGTGTATTTTGTCTATGTGAGTTGACACTGTGCATTGGTGCTGTCCTATATATAATTTGTCTATATGAAGTGACGCTGTAGTGTGTTTTGTCTATGTGAGTTGACACTGTGCATTGATGCTGTCCTATATATAATTTGTCTATGTGAGTTGACACTGTGCATTGATGCTGTCCTATATATAATTTGTCTATATGAAGTGACGCTGTGGTGTATTTTGTCTATGTGAGTTGACACTGTGCATTGGTGCTGTCCTATATATATTTTGTCTGTATGAAGTGATGCTGTAGTGTACTTTGTTTATGTACGTTAATGCTGTAGTATGTGTTGTCTATATGAAGTGATGCTGAGTTGCCATTGTGTACATTGATGCTGTGGTATATATTATGCGTCTGCGTGAAGTGATGCTTTGGTGGTTTATTTTGTTAACGTAAGTCGACGCTTATGCATTTTGTCTATGTGAGTCGATTAAGTGTTTTTTCTTATAGCTTTTTGTACGTTTTTAATATGAATTAAGGATATGTAAGCTCACCTCTATTGTGTTTATCCAGGAAACAATGTAACCGGGAAGGAGGAGATCTCGTCGCTATACAGTCAACCGCGGACGAAACAACGATGCAGGGTATTGCAAGGTCAACAAGGCGGCCATATTGGTTTGGTTTACATTCATTTCAACAAACCGCATCGGTAAGAAAGTAATCTATGCACAACACATCCTTAAATAAGAGTAACATTCAAAAACTATTTCATGAATCTGCACAATTGTGTTCATTATTGATCTCTTTTCCTCTCAGGGTGCTGTACAATGCTATTCATTAGTGTACTTGAATCTTGTATTTCGTGCCAGGGTGATTGAAACTTGTATTTCGTTAGTGTACTTGAATCTTGTATTTCCTGTCAGGGGGCTGTACAATGCTTTTCATTAATGTACTTGAATCTTGTATTTCATGTCAGGGTGCTGCACAATGCTATTCATAAGTGTACTTGAATCTTGTATTTCGTGTCAGGGTGCTGTACAATGCTATTCATTAGTGTACACTTGAATCTTGTATTTCGTGTCAGGGTGCTGTACAATGCTATTCCTTGGTGTACTTGAATCTTGTATTTCGTGTCAGGGTGCTGTACAATGCTATTCATTAGTGTACTTGAATCTTGTATTTCGTGTCAGGGTGCTGTACAATGCTATTCCTTGGTGTACTTGAATCTTGTATTTCGTGTCAGGGTGCTGTACAATGCTATTCATTAGTGTACTTGAATCTTGTATTTCGTGCCAGGGTGATTGAAACTTGTATTTCGTTAGTGTACTTGAATCTTGTATTTCCTGTCAGGGGGCTGTACAATGCTTTTCATTAATGTACTTGAATCTTGTATTTCATGTCAGGGTGCTGCACAATGCTATTCATAAGTGTACTTGAATCTTGTATTTCGTGTCAGGGTGCTGTACAATGCTATTCATTAGTGTACACTTGAATCTTGTATTTCGTGTCAGGGTGCTGTACAATGCTATTCCTTGGTGTACTTGAATCTTGTATTTCGTGTCAGGGTGCTGTACAATGCTATTCATTAGTGTACTTGAATCTTGTATTTCGTGTCAGGGTGCTGTACAATGCTATTCCTTGGTGTACTTGAATCTTGTATTTCGTGTCAGGGTGCTGTACAATGCTATTCATTAGTGTACTTGAATCTTGTATTTCGTGTCAGGGTGCTGTACAATGCTATTCCTTGGTGTACTTGAATCTTGTATTTCATGTCAGGGTGCTGTACAATGCTATTCCTTGGTGTACTTGAATCTTGTATTTCGTGTCAGGGTGCTGTACAATGCTATTCATTAGTGTACTTGAATCTTGTATTTCGTGCCAGGGTGATTGAAACTTGTATTTCGTTAGTGTACTTGAATCTTGTATTTCCTGTCAGGGGGCTGTACAATGCTTTTCATTAATGTACTTGAATCTTGTATTTCATGTCAGGGTGCTGCACAATGCTATTCATAAGTGTACTTGAATCTTGTATTTCGTGTCAGGGTGCTGTACAATGCTATTCATTAGTGTACACTTGAATCTTGTATTTCGTGTCAGGGTGCTGTACAATGCTATTCCTTGGTGTACTTGAATCTTGTATTTCGTGTCAGGGTGCTGTACAATGCTATTCATTAACGTACTTGAATCTTGTATTTCGTGCCAGGGTGATTGAAACTTGTATTTCGTTAGTGTACTTGAATCTTGTATTTCCTGTCAGGGGGCTGTACAATGCTTTTCATTAATGTACTTGAATCTTGTATTTCATGTCAGGGTGCTGCACAATGCTATTCATAAGTGTACTTGAATCTTGTATTTCGTGTCAGGGTGCTGTACAATGCTATTCATTAGTGTACACTTGAATCTTGTATTTCGTGTCAGGGTGCTGTACAATGCTATTCCTTGGTGTACTTGAATCTTGTATTTCGTGTCAGGGTGCTGTACAATGCTATTCATTAGTGTACTTGAATCTTGTATTTCGTGTCAGGGTGCTGTACAATGCTATTCCTTGGTGTACTTGAATCTTGTATTTCGTGTCAGGGTGCTGTACAATGCTATTCATTAGTGTACTTGAATCTTGTATTTCGTGTCAGGGTGCTGTACAATGCTATTCATTAACGAATTGAATCTTGTATTTCGTGCCAGGGTGCTTACAATACTATTCATTAGTGTACTTGAATCTTGTATTTCTTGTCAGGGTGCGGTACAATGGATGTGGGCGAATGGAAGCCTGCTCACCACTACGCCGTACTGGGCCAACGGAGCAGCCTCTCCTCCAGGGTAATCCTCATCTATTGATAAGATCGCTATCTCCTTATATGTTGTGTAATGTATATTGGGATAGAACAAAACAAAGTGTTTTTCGGTAAAATTTTGGTGGTTCATTTTTGCGATTTCATGATTTTCTGAATAAAAGTGAACCCTGCAATTGTCATATAGCCTACATACTTATCGCACACCTATCATATTTATTAGTTTCGTGGGTTGTTAACATCCTTCTTTGTCGAATTTAGTAAAAAAAAAAATGTTGGGTTTTTTCCCCCTTTTTTCAATATGTTGTGTGGCGTTGCCTTTCCACTGAAATGCGGCAGGCAAAGATATAAAGATATACATTTTCAAAAACTGAATTAAAAATTCAGTGATGATCGTCAACAACCGGATACAACCTGAATTGTTGTGATGGGAACTTAAAGTGTGTTTCTTGCAAATGCATCATTCCTTAAGAGTACATAACACAGATCAGATATATAAGCGTGTGTTCTTAAGGAAAGCGTGTTATAAATCTATTAATGAGTTGTAATAATTAACTACAGATTATTCTACTGAAATATGTTTATATTTAACAGCAACCGCAAAAACACAACGTGTTCCTATATCAGTAACTCCATCACCAATAGTAAGCCGTGGATGTCCACTTCCTGTAATTCCCGGAAATACTACGCATGTCGGAAACCGGAAGGTACGACATGCGCAAATATATAGCTGCAAATTATTGATATAAATTCGCTTCTCCGGAATGTCGTTTTGCGTGACATCTTGTTCCCAGATTTTGTAGGTTTACGTTTATTATCAACAATAACATCTAATAATAATATCTGTCAAAAAGTAAATATATACATATCAGTTGTTTCATGTTATACCGTATATATTAATTATCTATTCTAATACATATCGAATGGTTAAATAACTATTTTACCGTGATATTATTCCGTCTGTGGTTGCGTAGTGAACGGCTCATTAAACAAAATTCTTTTGGGTTTATAGTGAGATAGAATTATTAATTCTATCCCGTTTTTGCCTGTTTTAGGAGTTTGTCAGCAGGGTTGGGTTGCTCATCAGACCAAATGTTATCAGATCAACATTCAATTCAAGTACTCGTGGTCACAAGCAAAAAGTTACTGCGACAGACAGAGGTCCAGACTGGTAGAAATTTACAGGTTAGATTCAACAATTTGTTGTTCTATGTTTCACATTAACTGTGTTGTTTCTTTGAACAAGATATTTTACCCCGCTTGTTCCAGTCTACTCAGCTGTACATGAATGGTTGGGCAGTGCTAGAATTGTTGAATGTTAGCTGTGAGCGCCGCAATAGCAGCACCGGCTGTATACTCCCCAGGGAGTTGAGAAAGATATTGGCTGGTTGCAAAGGCCCTATAACCACGGATGATAACTTGTGAACCGCTTTGAGACGCACTTCGAACCTGGTTGTAATAAAGCAGTATATACTTATAGTTATTATTATTAACCGGCGACATCTTAATCGCTTTATGCTGATAAAAAGTGAAACATGCCCCTACTGTTTTTCATCTCCAGCTTTGTTTAGGTTACTAACATTTTACAGTAACTGATGGTTTTCACAAAAATATTTCCTTATATTTCCATCGTTGCTCGGACGTCACTTTGGCCACATTTCAAGCATAGTATATATATATATATATATTATCTATGGGTATAGAGTTGAATTAAATTCTTTTTAATGGTGTCATTATCATGCATGCATGTTTAACAGGACCACAGACACACAGTTCCTGAATTCTTACCTCAGTAGACTTCGCCAAGCTGGCGTTGACAGCTTCTGGATTGGGGCCTCAGGTAAGGCTATACGCCTGTGTACTCGTAACATGTTTAATCTAACGTTAGAGTAAACACAAGATCAACATCCAAAGTATATAAGTTCTCTCATAAAATCATATCACTTTGCCTTCTGACAACATAAACTTATTGTTAAACTGCATAATTCATAACAGCAAACACATTTTATTTGCATGTGACGGGAGTTCTAAGTCTTGCCGAGTGACAAATACATGTATGATTTGAATTCCTCAACGAATACTTCAAACGTTTTTTTGTGCAATTTTACTGTAAAACGCAATAGTCCACTGTAGCGGAGACATATACCTCTGTCGTATTGCTAACCAAACCCCAGACTGTTGAAGTACTGTTTTATTGTTATTGGCAAATCACCAATACAGATTTAAATACAACAACCTATAAATGGAGTCACAGCGGTCGCATCAGCTACCAAAACTGGCAGCACAACCCACCGACGAACACACGGAACCGCCTGGATTGTTCGTATGTCGTGACATGTAAGTATCGTTTGATATATAAGATACAATCTCCGTACATTATATATTGTGCCTTGTGTTTATGTTCAGGATGCATTTTTATTTATGTTCATCTACACGGTGAGTCGATCACCGCGTCTAACTATGTCTAGTTGTTCATATAACAATATAAATGCCAAAAAGAAGACATCTAGGTATATAAAGGTTAAAAGAGGCAAACATATATCTGGTTAAAATGTCCACAGTAACTAAATTAGCATTGTTCTGATATTATTATGAATACCGTATACTTTCCAGTTTTAAATCATTTATTTCTCAGTCCACAAAATGTATAGTTATATTACGAGCTACAAGGGTTTTGAAGCTCTGGGTTCAGCCTCTCTAAATTTGTGAATGTCCTCGCACAAGAAAGCTATCATATCACTAGCCATGTCATTGTATATCATATACTTCGATTGTACGCCAAGTTGTATCAAGTTTCATTAGCAAGCGAATGTGCGTGAAACTTTGAAGGTTATTGATCACGAATATGTTTACGAAATGTGTTTATATAAGTTGGATTTTTCATCTTTAATTTATAAATTGGACACATGCATACTCTATTTTCTGGTAATATAAACTATTTCCAAACATGCATCTATCTTAAACAAAACAAAACAACTGCATCTTGTACTTGTTAACGACATGCTAGCTACATACATACAATGTACTTGACATTCATTACTAGAACACAGTATAGCTTAATAGTTCCGAAGCACAATATTTAGAAGAAAAAAAGAGTATTTTAAAAATCAGTCTAATCTTAAACAGGTAAATAGTTATAAGAAAAGAAATAATGTTTGTGCTTATCTGCATCAATGTTTGACACGATGGGATTTGTGATGAGATTGTAATGAATGCCAACTTCTGATAAATATTCTAAAGGCTGTATTTTTAAATAACAATATTTAAGTCAAGCGATTATATGTGGAAAATAGGTATGCCATAAAAAAAGACATACTCGGGGCATTCAATACTTGTTCTATTTATGGAGATCTGAAACAGAACAATACTTCATATGTAAGCTTACATGTAAAGAGTTAGTCCTGCACTAAAGTGACAACATGTACGAGTATAGTTGTATGCCTGTATATGTTAGTGTCTTTGTTTACGAATCAGCAATTGTTTGACTTGTTATTGTGTTTGTTGACAGCTGACCGACGAGGCAAGTGGCGAACCACCAGTAACTGTGGTGTGATGAAGAAGGCGTTTATGTGTAGCATCGGGATGAACCAGGCAGTGCACCATGTGAATACTCCCAGACGTAAGCGAGAAATGTGATACTTAACTTATAACATTCAATTGTAAACATTTTACCTTATTTTCATGCAAAGGGAATTTGTAGATATTTAATGATATATTAACAATTTTAAAAAAGAAAGAGTATCCGACCTGATGAGGTTTTAATGTAAATTAATCCTTTGTGTACTCATGTACATATATATGGTATAACAAATTCACTGAGTATTCGACTGCATTATAAATCCTTAAGAAGGCCATCATCGTAAAATAAATCCAATTGGCCTGTCTTTGGTGAAACAAATGGACAGTTGGGCCTCTCTCGTATAATGCACAATGTTAGGTCGTAGATGATATAACACATGAACGGGTTGTTTGTTAAAGGGAAAAGACTACGGGAGTTCTACTGTTCTATAAAACATGCACACTTTGTTCGGCTTCTATGTGTAACTAGTCTGAACTTATGCCACCCTCTTGTGTATTAAATAAAAAGATATAATTAAGGAAAGCTTAAAATCATCTGAACTTTAGTATTGGAACCTAGTACAGTATACAACATATGACGCAATTGTGATTGGGTATATCGGTGAAGCTGTTCTCCCTGTGATTCCCAAATACTGTAATCTGGCAGTGTGTAGGAGAATTGTTTTTTTTTCTTTTTAGGTTTTGATCTCTTGTCAGTCCTCTAACTTGCAACAATAAGTTGATGGCCGAGCTGTCTTTTCTTTCAATTCCCTTCAGCACAATATACTTAGTAACGCGTCTTAGAAAAAATACGATAACAGTTGTTCACCATTTTTTCGTCACGTTGTATTTGCAACTATTATTCATTGATGTTTCAGTATGACTGAAATAACCTTACTAAAACTATCACTTGATGTGTATCGAACCAACTGATTTTTCCTTTGTACATTCAAGTATACTTGCGACAGTTATTGATGGTTTATGAACGAACACTTATTACATTTTTCCCTTTTCAGCCCAGTATACTTGCGACCGTAATTGGTTGGTTTACGGGACGAATTGTTATCAGTTTAATGACCATCGACGGGACTGGATTGGATCAGGCCAAGACTGTCAGAGACAGGGCGCTCAACTTGCGAAGATTTCCGATGTCCATGTACAGGGGTTTATTGTTGGTAAGATTAGCACGTATGCTTTATAATCTCCCATCGGTTTGCAACTCTTTTTATAATAAACGTTCTTTTCCATATATACTTTTTAAATTGCTCATGTATTTATATAACATATATAAAATAATTCACTCTATTTAATTAACATAACCCATGCAACCATGGTCGATATCATGATTGATTTTAATTCGTATGATTTGCACATATTAAGATGAATATTTTATTATTAGAGTTCCAAGCGAAGCACCGTTTCATATCACATTCTCATATCATAAAATCATTTCTACGATATTCATTTCGTATCATGTTTTACTAAATTATGGCTTAAGAACTAATGCAGCAATGCCAAGTACAAAAAGGCGAATCTGTAAAAGCAAATAGCTTTTATCTGGTTTAAGTACCTTTAAAACAATTATGTACTATCTGCATAACACGGAGTGTGAAGTAAATTATTGAGTTATAGTACCAATTGTTTTAAGTATTTCTGAAAGTGAATCCTATTATTAACAATGGACCTGTGTATTGTAAAGTTTAATGAACACGTCATTTTTATGAAATTTTCCATATGAAAAGTGGTGTTTTTTTTACATTAAATCAATTAATTTAAGTTCTGCCTTCTTATGTTACTAAAGCTTTATTTAAGACATTGTATGTTATAAGGTTTCTAACGCAGTTAATAAACTTATACATTTCGGTTGTTCCATGCTGTACCAGATGTAATTGTTTGTCATCCTCGTTCATTCCTGTATTGTAAAAGAAATGAAATAGTTGAAATGAAATATGAAATTGCTCTCTTTATTTGCCATGTAATAAGAAGCATTATATTTTATATTACCTTTCCTCACCCATATGCTCCGTTGACGAAACTTCAATTAACGTCTGTAATTTACATTATTCTTTCTGCAGCACACACTCATAATCAGGAGTACTGGATTGGTTTAAATGATAGAAACACGGAGAGACACTTTATGTGGGTGTCAGATAATAGTCCGGTGAGTGTCATATAACCAGCAAATATTCAATTATACTTCTTAATTTGTCTGTGCTATCATTATACATATTATTCTAATCAGTAGGAATCGTCTTTTATATTATTAATATGAGTGGCAATTTTACTTCCTATATATGTTCAAATGATACAAGTTGAGACAACCGCTATGACATTTTTTCACAAACGATTGAAAACCGTTTTATTTTACAATGACAATGTATGTCTTCAATAGTTGTTTACCAAAAGAAAACTTTTGCTTCGCGTATTGATATATTGCGTCATTGTTTGTGTTTCATACTGAGGCAACATGCCAAACTTCTCTGCTTTATTCAGGCACGGTTCGTTAAATGGAATCCCCATGAGCCTAATAACCAAGGTGACGAGAATTGTGTGGAGACTAAAGAGAACGGCTGGAATGACAAGGCGTGCAACACCGGACTCAAATATATCTGTCAGAAACCTGCAAGTACGTCCTTGTTATAGTTTTAACTTATTTAATTAATTAATTTTGCACAACTGAATAAACAATTTTAATCACTTTCTATAAGTGATCACTGATACATTTGTATATGTATTTAATAAATGAGATACAATGTTACAATATTCAAAGTCTGAACACGTAGGTAACTCATCTTGGACACATGGTTAGTTTACAGATATAAAAGATTTACCTGGGCGAAAGGTAGTTTTGACGGTGATATGCAATGGACATGATTACAGTTAAAGTCTTTTGACAGCGAGTGATTAAAGTAACATAAAATTATAATGGCTATCTTTATACCAAACTAATATATTCGCAATTAAATATGTTTGATATTTAACCAAACTCTATATATTATTTGTCTACAAAAATGCTCCTGTGACTTTCACCTACAGTATAATAGCAAAGTAATGTAATGCTAAACATGATCGCGTTTTGGATTTTATGATATTAAGCCATCCTCTTCTCAGACAGAGGAAACAGCCAATCATACCCTTTTAATGTATTTTGTACATCAGATTTGATCCACTTTTCTAAAGTCTGCTCTGATTTCATGGAACATGTCTGTACAATAACGAATAACCTATACTTTTTGATTGATTGATTGATAGGTTTTACGTCCGCTTCACTACCGAGTAGTTCGGTTATCCAGCAGACGAATATAGCATATACATTGTATACTACGATAATACACAAGGTTGAAATTAATAGTTCGTGATAGTATGAGATAAACAAGGTTTTATCAGTGCCTATACTGATAAAAAAGACATATCGAAAATGTCGACTAACGTGTTCGACAGCAAACTTCATGTTGTGTGCCACTGTTGTTGTGGGGGGGTTTGTATCTGCACGGACTACTAGTGTTGTGGGGGGTTTGTATCTGCAGGGATTACTAGTGTTGTGGGGGGTTTGTATCTGCACGGATTACTAGTGTTGTGGGGGGTTTGTGTCTGCAGGGACTACTAGTGTTGTGGGGGGTTTGTATCTGCACGGATTACTAGTGTTGTGGGGGGTTTGT